TTTGGCCACATACTCTGTTAGCTAAACTTCTAATTAAGTGGCTCTCCCGACTGACAGAATGATCGTTGTAATAAAAATCTAATGTTTTTTTAGAAGTAAAAGATGTTCATGTATGCTTTCTACACTTTTTTCTCCTTTGATCAATGGGTAACGTAATTTGGATCCATACAACAGTTAATTTTAAGAAATAGAATTTATATCTAAAAAATTTAGTGAAAAAGGATAGAATGACAATAGAATTAGAGAACTTTAGCATCCTGTTGTGCAAAAACTGTATTTTGAGGTGTTTTCAAGGAAAAATGTTTGCCTTTGAGCATCGTTTGCATACAACAAACTAGGAATGTATTCGTTTACATAGCATCTATGTCAGAAAAAAAGTGTTTCAAAATGAAAGTACTAAATATCGATTGAAAACCCAATGAAATACTTTCATGTTATATGTATTTCAATAGCCTTTTTCTTAGTTAGTTTCCATATTGTAATTGAACTTTTCCAAGTTCCATCAAAAAGTAGAGATTGATCAAAAGTCAGATGATAGATTGAAGGAATTCCGAGAATATATTCTAGATAGATAACGAATGGTCAATAAGTATTTATTGGTAAAAACTAAAATGACTTAGTGTTGATGATATTTCCATTTCTGTTAGTTAAATATAAAATTATTTTTGTCCCAATGGGTCATATTTGCATTTGAGTTATAATTACAAATAATTTTATTTGATTCAATGATAAACCTGAAACCAAAATGAAACTATTTATCTTTTTTCCTTTGTCTATATTCATCTTTTAAATTAATTCAGGAAACTGGCTCACGATTAAATGAAGTGGATTCTCAGAATATCCATCACCAAGCGTCGAACAGAAATAAAAAGAAACAGTAAATAATCGTTTTACACTTTTTCTTATTAAGTTTTAAAAATCGTTCGCTTAGCTATTTTAAACACATTCGTCGCCAATATTCACCTATCTGTCTATTTTTATCTCTACTTGCTCTTCTTCTTCTGGGCGGGGGCATTGCTGCAATGCTTGTTGCCTTGATCGGCATCCCTAAAACGGCAATAACAACAACAACAACAGTGGCGACAACAACTGCAACAACAGTAACGACGGCAACAACAACGTCAACCTCCACGTCAACAACAACGTCAACCTCCGTGACAACAACAAGTAAGGCAACATTTCCGTTTTTATTCGCGCATGTACATGAATATTCATACAACCGGATTCATAAAAGAAGTGCTAGCGATCGATGTGAGATATATCTATAACTGAGACAGGTCCAAGAAGAGAGCAGCGATTTTGGCGGCTCAAATGTGATTTTTTGTCGATTTAAGGACTCCCTCCCCCTTCCGAGGTTTCTCGAGAACGGCTAGGTGAAATTTTCTGAAACTTTCAGGGTAGATAGATCTTGATGAGTAGAGCAAAAGTTTCATAGACTCAGAGCTCGAGAATGCTTTCTTTCCAGAGATATTTGCGACCCAAGGGCAAAAATGACCTAAAGTTCCTCCCCCCCCCCCCAAACTCTTATACTTCATTGTTTACGGCGGAAATTTTTTCTGCAGAAACTAGGAACAAATTGGGGCGTGTCTTTTTTTTTCTTTGGAAAATGCCGTTCCTGAGGGTCAGGAGAACCAAATTACTGACGGCACTATCAAAAAATGCGCTTTTTTTTGTTCTTTTCTTATAGTGCCAATTTTGTGGTACCTAGTGGAATTTCTTAGGAAGAATATTTTTGAGAGAAAAAAAAGACACACTCCAATTTATTCAAAGTATTCACAGTAAAAATTTGACCTCGATTGGTTGGAGTGCGAGGCGAAAAAAGGGGGAAAACTTCATTTTTTTGCTGAAATAACTGATTTTGAGAAAAACGCAAAGAAATTTGTATTTTTTGGTTTTTTTCAGCATATTTTATGATTTTTTTCGAGTTTTTTTTATATATAAGATGTGGGCTTTCAGTTCTCAACGTGTGCTCAATGGATAGATGGCATTCAAATCTATATACTAATCACAAAAAATGAAAAACGAAAAATGTGAAAATTTTGAGTCGGGAAAGGGGGCTCCCCTTAAATCAGCTGCTTCCTCTTTGAAAGATTGAGGAACAACTCTTCTGAAACTGAAGCTGATATTCACTCAACATGTTCGACAGTTTGGCTACAGAAGAAGCTGTCGATTTTCTTCTCTTCATTTCTTTCTTCATTGATTTATTCATTCTTGTTCAGGTTTCGTGAGACAGTAGATTGGCCACTATAGATTAAAAAAAATAGATAGAAGAAGGAATTTATCGTTTTTCGGACTATGAAAAGGACGAACAAGCCATTGAGTGTTTATTTGGATGAACTCAAGGGTAATACCGCTATTGTCTCGTCTAAATAACGAATGAACCAGTGAGTGATTGTAGATGAAAAGAAGAACGGTTGTTTTGGGGCTAATGTCCTTTGATTGCGCCATTCTCGCAGTGCTTCATCGAAGTACCCACTGGTGAGTGCAGTATATCATCAATCATCTGTTACGTAAATGCACGCATCATCCAACTAAAGTTCTTTTCAAGCGAGTTTTCTGATCATGGTTCATCGAGAGCATATTGTCAATCATCCTACTAATTGTGCCCAAGAAAAATCTTGTGAATTCTGCCGATTACGGGCCTATATCGTTTGACAATCTGATCGAATCTGAGATAAGATTCAGTTTAGTTCCAATGGTAAAAGATTGAAAGAGGCATCATGAAACCAGAGAAAGATTAAACGATGATAAGAATGCATTAATTTGAAATAGATGTGCGGCGAATTAGTCAGGATTGTAGAATGGTAGTTTTCTCATGGGAACTGTATAGACTGTAAGAAAAAGTATTTAGCTTCGCGGAAGATAAAAGAAAATTTTTCACGATTGTAAGCATTATTCTGTTTACTCACACTGTCTCTGTAAGAGCTGTAGTAGCCTTTTTGAAAGTAAACAATACTCAGGTAAGGCAATTGTTTTTCATAATTACAGTGGTGCTAATAATAATTTTTGGTTTGTTGCAGCTTCGTGCACTAGAACGTTTGCTGCTCAAGTGACCTATTCAACTGGCAGTCAACCGCGTTCTGTGACAGCAGCCGATGTCAATGGAGACAGCAAACCCGATATTATTGTCGGAAACTACGCTTCAAGCAACGTTGGCGTTCTCCTCAACAATGGCAATGGCACGTTTGCTGCTCAAGTGACCTATTCAACTGGCACTAACCCGCGTTCTGTGGCAGTAGCCGATGTGAATGGAGACAACAAACTTGATATTATTGTCGCAAACTTCGGCTCAAACAACGTCGGTGTTCTCTTCAACAATGGCAATGGCACGTTTGCTGCTCAAGTGACCTATTCAACCGGCAGTGGACCGTATTCGATGGCAGTAGCCGATGTCAATGGAGACAGCAAACTCGATATCATTGTCGTAAACCAAGGTTCAACAAACGTCGGTGTTCTCTTCAACAATGGCAATGGTACGTTTGCTGCTCAAGTGACTTATTCAACTGGCAGTTGGCCGTATTCGGTGGCAGCAGCCGATGTCAATGGAGACAGCAAAGTTGATATTCTTGTCGCAAACGCCGGTCCAGACAACATCGGAGTTTACCTCAACAAAGGCAATGGCACGTTTGCTGCTCAAGTGACTTATTCAACTAGCACTGAGCCGCGGTCTGTGACAGCAGCCGATGTCAATGGAGACAGCAAACTCGATATTATTGTCGCCAATCATTGGTCGTACAACGTCGGTGTTCTCCTCAACAATGGCAACGGCACGTTTGCTGCTCAAGTGACTTATTCAACTGGCACTAACCCGTGGTCTGTGGTAGCAGCCGATGTTAATGGAGACAGCAAACTCGATATTCTTGTCGCAAACTCCGGTCCACGCAATGTCGGTGTTCTCCTTAACAATGGTAATGGCACATTTGCTGCTCAAGTGACTTATTCAACTGGCACTGACCCATATTCGGTGGCAGCAGTCGATGTCAATGGAGACAGCAAACTCGATATTATTGTCGCAAATTCAGGTTCAAACAATGTCGGTGTTCTCTTATCTGCCTGCAACTGATACGTATATTGAACTCTATTCATGCAGTAACATTAAAGTAGTGAATTTAGAATTTTACTAAAATCTGTTTATGTTCTGTAACAAAATCAGACTGTCATTGCGCCATTTAATTCCCTCGACTGAAAGGAGGGTCATATGAAAAAAAATAGTTTGCTTGTTGCTTGTGACAAGGTCAAAAGAACATCGGGGTTAAAAGAACATCTATTTTAAGTTCTCTTCTGTAAAGGTTGACGAAAGCAAATCGGGGTCGGAGAATCCGAATCTGAAGTCAGATTTTGAAAATTTTGAATTGAGTTTTTAGGGTCAAGGGAAGAGTTTTTTGAGAAAATAACGATATTTTATAAAGGTTGACGAACGTAAATCGGGGTCGGGGAATCCGAATCTGAAGTCAGATTCTCAAAATTTTGAAATGAGTTTCTAGGGTCAAGGAAAGGTTTTTTAAGGAAATAATGAAAGTTTATCAAGATTGACGAAAGGAAATTGGGGTTGGGAAATTCGAACTTGAAGTCAGCTATCCAGAAAATCAAATATTTATTTCCATGAAAAGATCATACCTTTCCTCTCTGAACTGTTGTCTAAGGTAAAAGCAAATTTTTTTGAGAAAAAGATATTTGGAAAAAAGGAAAATTTAGAATATGGAAAATCATTCTGGATATGTGGATTCTGCTTTTGCTATCTAGTTGCGATAGTCTCTTCAGATTATCGTTGTAGGCACGAATCGGAGCGTGACCTAATGGGATGAGTGTTTTAGTAAGTTGTAATGTGATGAGATACTGTTTACACACCCCCGGCAGTCAGTCTAATTTGAACGACATTGAGGGATTCCTCTTTATTCATAGTGGTTTCTGAGTTAAATGGCTTTTTTGGGTGCACTCTTCTTAAGTTGAGAAAAGTAGCATAAAAAAAATGTTGTCCTCAACATTTGATAAAATAAAATTGAAAATATCTCTGTATCTTTATATTTTTATTTAATATTCTGGGAACTTTTGGTCAGACCTAAGTAGTACTATGAAGTTTAGCTGCCCTTTTCTGCATCTACGTATTAAGTGTGAGCCAGCGCTATGGATTTGGAACTTTGTTGGTCTGTGGATGTGAAGATATGTGAGGGTTGACGTGTAGATGCTCACGCTTGCAGATGGAGATGGGAGTCTGACAGCATTTAACGAAACAGATGTACATCGTGAGGGTTGCCTAAAGAATTGCACGAGTTTGAAAGTGTGCTGGAAGATGGGTATGGGTGTGAGAATAGTGATGTGAATATGGACAGGTTTCGGAAAAACGATGTGGATAAGTCTGTGCATAGACATGTAGTTAATTAAGACTTTCGATACAGCTGTGACTGTTAAGACGGATATGAAGATGAGAATGCGAGTGTATGAAGTTGGATGGAATATGGATGGGGATCTAGGAGGTATGAGAACAGGGATACGGGTGTGGAGAGAAGTTTGAAGATAAGAATGAGTGGAGGGATGTGTTAGGATAACGATCATGGTCGTGAAGGATTATGAGTATAAGGACGATGATTGTGATGAGTGTGTGAATACAGGTGTGGTTGATGATAGTTTTCAAGATAGCTGCGAGAATTCAGAAAGTAATATGAATAAGTATCCAATTGTTGAGAGGTATCAGAATAAGAATCTACATAGGGAGGGATTTGCCGATGGAAATGAGAACAGTCAGGGACGTGAGGATATGGCTAAGGGTTGTTAGGAATTCTAATAAAAATCTGACTTTCCAACTAGACAATTAGATTGAAGAAATAAGGAATAGTTTATAAGAAAGTGCCGGTTCGGGACTGCCCATCACGAATTCCCGTGTTATAAATCTAACTATTTTTAGAAGTAAGAGCAGCCTGGAATTTGATAGAGTGTAAATCAAAGAAGATGATCTTATGGGAGAATTGGATTACACGTGGCAGCGGCTAGCCACTGCACCGAAAAATTCCCTGAAGAAAAGCTTCAGGCTATTGGGATTCATCGGATAAATATCAACAGCGTAGATCTAATGAGTTTGAATAGGGGCTAGCAGTGGCAAAGAACTAAGAAATAATTTGAAATAAAGTGTGAGAATAGCTTTTCTGCACGTGCACAATATTTGAATAGTACATTTAACGGAAAACATCACTCAAAGAACTTATTCCATCGACTGAAGGAAGGGTCATAAAATATGTAAATCGATAGAGGTGATTACATGTGATACTATTAGTAACTGTCTCGATAAAGTGGACTAGCGTATAAGTACTTCTAACTCTTCAGTCGAGGGTGGAGTGAGTCGTAGCGACGAGCGTTACTTGTTAATAAATTTCTTGACTATTCTTATAGAAATAAATACTCATGAGTGAAGATACAATTTTTAGCGTATTGTTGGCGGCTAACGTCGATATAAGTTTTCATTCAAGGAAACCAGTGAGTCATCGTCCCAATGATTGTCTGAAGAAAGACAAGAGCATTACGACGATCACAACATCAGCTAAGAAATAACTATAAACGTGCCATCATACCAATCGAAAATAGATCGACTTTCAGGGGGGAATGAGCTGTCATGGGCTTGACGTGAAAGTGTGAGGATGAGGGTGAGTAAGCACACCGTGACCGGTTTTGACCTTGCTCAAGGGTCTCATCAAACGGTTTTGTATAAAATGAATGATTCTAAATAGAATCAATTCAATAGAATACAAGATTTAACACTGCTACGAGATGCGCAGTTTAACCAACGCACAAGTAGTGGTTAAATTGATTTATAGAGGTGAGCAAGTGCATCGTGACCGGTTTCGTCCTTCCCATGTAAAACTGAAACGCACATAGGACGCATCTAGACGCGTTTGCCAACGTGTCTAGGCGTGGTTAAATTCAAAAACACTAATAAAACGTGTTCGGGCGCGTTTTAGAGATGCGTTTAGATGCATCTCAGCTAGCAGACACGTTTTCAAAGATGCATTCAGGCGCGTTTCTACTTTCAGACGTGTTT